TATTTATCAATAAAATATGGGAAAAAAGTTTGCCTAATAAATCCTATGTTTCTCTTACTAACCAATCCTAAAAATTCTTTCTCCACAATGACAGTCAGTGAACCTGCACTTATTCTGCAGGCAGATCAGATTTACTTTTCTTACCACTGCTTTGGCATTACCCCGATCCTATCCAGTGGCACTCTCTCACAATAGAAAATAAAGAGGGATAGGGATTATACAGCTTAGTGTGAAAGCCTTAGGTTCAATCTTCTGGTGGGAACAATACCTTGAGATGAGTGCATCCTGGAAGCCCAGTGACAAGGTCTCCATAAGACACAGAAGAGGGCAAGGTGGAGAAAGCAGGAAGAGGCTGCAATGGTAGCACCAGGCGCATGGGATCTCTTGGGCCCCAGGAGTGGACAGGCACAGAAGAGGGCAAGGTGCAGAGAACAGAAGAGGCTGGACTGTCCCACCAGGAGTATGGGACATCTTGGGCCCCAGCAGTGGACAGGCAGAAAAGCTCTTCACCAGAGATCTGGACAGCACAACCATGCAGTCACCTGCATCCTGAACTCAGAGCAGGAGCTTCATTAGTTGACCTTTGGTTATAGCAACCCAGGGCACTTAAGACAGAAGCTGGAGGGCCGGCCAAATAGCTCAGCAGATTAAAGTGCCTGCAAGCAGGCAAAGAGGCTGGGGGTTCAATCCCCAGGCCTGCCATGCTGCCCGATCCCTGGGACACGCTGAGGCAGCAACTGAGACTGTGTGTGGTGGTGCGCACCTGTAATCCCAGCTCTTGGGAGGCTGTAAACAGGAGGATCACTACGAGTCTGATCTAGTAGTGAGATTCTGAATACCCTGTAGACCCTTCCCTAAAACACACACACACACACACACACACACACACACACACACAAAAGCCTAAGGTGCACAAAGCAGTTCATAGCCCTGCAAGCAGCCAGGACACCATGTCAACTCTTCATTTGCAGATATCACATACCACTTGTAAACTTGGCCCCATTTTATTCTCAAACTTCAAGGCTATCTCCACAAGGCTTGTCCCCAAAGGCATTAGAGGGTACAAGGACAGTGAAGCCATTTCCTGGCCCCACGCTCCTGTCTACTCATCCACTCCCACCAAGAGTCTTGACTCACCCCGGACAGTCCTCAGCCAATCCACGTTGGCCACCTCCAGATCTGCTGGGTCTGTGACAACCCTGCCTGGGATGATGCGTTCAAAGGCGGCCAGGTCCTCCTCCGACACCATAGAGAAGGGCAGCCGCTGCACAGGGTAGCGCTCAGAAGTGAGCATCACCCCCGGGACTCTGGGGACTGTGGAGTGGCAGCCTCTGAAGGCCGGAGCGCTGCACAGTCTCCAGGGGAAACTTGGCCACCTCTGCTGTCCCACCGAGGTCCCAAGAACGCAGGCTGTCCTCCACCACTCTGGAGAGGCCTGAAAGATCCACGCAGGCCATCGGATCACCTGACGAGGCAGCATCGCCTCTACCCTACAAAGGAAAAGAGTGAACCTGTAGCTCAGGAACAGGGTGGAGCCTGCAAGCCCCTCTCAACCCAAGCAGCAGCCACGCCAGGGAGGGAGCTGGGCAGGGCAGACTGAGGTGCGGCATTCACTGACTAAGGCCCCTGGGCGTGCGCTTTATAGCATTCAAAAATAACCTCTTTTAAGACGCCAAAAAGAAAGCGAAGATACGTCTGAATTATGCATTAAAGGTGAGGCAAAAAGGCGAGTTTCACGTTCCATGTCTATTATGCTACACGTATAAAGAACGTCTGCATAATCAAAAGTTTTCTTGGCCAGGGAGATAGCTCAGCAGCATAAGCGCCTACCTGGTAAGGCAAGGTCCCCAGTTCAATCCCCTATACCACAAAAAACAAAAAAAAAAAAAAAATTCTTAGGTGAGCGGTGCACACCTACTATAATCCCAGCAGCTTGGAAGGCTGGGACAGAACAACACACGGTTGGCTTGCCTGGGGAACTGAGCAAGCGACCTAGCGAGACCCCCTCTCACACGTGGGAGCAGATAGCAGTAACTGTCCCTCTAGCGAGGTCAGAGCCCCTCAGGGAAACACCAAGAGACCACCGCCACGCCGCCTCCCTGAGCTCGGGGCGCCAGCCCGCGCCCGCGCTTGCTAGCAGCGCTCCCGCAGCACGCAGCCTCCGCTGGACCCGGCCACAAACCTGTGCGGCACGAAACTGAGCGCGCAGTGGCTCCCAAGGTCAGAAACTGACCACAGCCACCTACGCGAGCAAAGGCACCGGCGGGACCTCTGGTTACTGTCCTGCGTCGGGCAGCGTGACGCACGCGCACAGAGAGGGGAGGGCCGCGAGCGGCGCCTGCGCACTGACTCCTTCTGGCGCCCCCCTGCGCGCGCCTGGGTCCCCGAGTCCCCGCGTCCCGGGCTCCGCCCGCCGTGGGTGCCCTGAGCAGCGAACACCTAGAATGGAGCCCTCGCTACCCACAACCTGGTTCTTACCCGGCCCCACTTGTCTACCAGACAGGCCCCAGCCAGTGGAGCCCCGCCCGCACCCTGCTGTAGACCCCTTCTCCCAGGAGCCTCTGTCCCCTTAGCTCTGTCTCTAGGAGTCTGTCTCCAGAGGTCTCTGTCTTCCCCCCGGGTTTCTCCCCAGGGCTCTCTGTCTCCCCTGGGATTCCTGGCTCCCTCCTGTTCAGTCCATTATGCTGTCACTTGGGGAGCAAAAGTGACAAGGTGATCAAAGGGGCCCAGGAGCTGGGACTCAAGTAGAACCTCAAGGAGCGTTAACAGCCAGGCTTTTACTAGAGGAACAGATAAATGTATAAAAATTCCAAGACTGGCTTACAATGGTCAGCCACAGAGTCGGATGAGGAAGCAGGCAGAGGGTGTCTGCACAATGGAGACTGAAGGATCATTTCAGACCAAGGTCTAGAGCTCACTGCAGTGCTCCAAGCAAGTCCATACCAGGAGGCCAATGGGTCTGCAACAGGAGGCTGATGAGTCTACACTAGAAGGCTGAAGGATCCAAGGCGGAGGCCGAAGCTCTGCGCCAGAAGCCAGAAGTCAGTGTCCAAGCTGGCTGCCAAGACCAGCGCTCCTCCGAGGAAAGGAACTACTCCATCCTTCCTCAGTTCCCTTTTATATCCGTTAAGTGATGAGTCGCTCTAGGGTGGGGCCTCCACACCCTAGGGTGTGGAATTGCTGAGCCAATTTAGTTAAGTTCTTAACTTCTTAACATATACTTTTTAGTACCAGGGATTGAACTCAGGACCCTGTGCTTGCCAGGCAACTGCTTATTCTACTGAGCTATCTCCCTGGGCCCTCTTAACTTCTTAAGTTAACACAATTGATCTACCACTACAAGGAACTAGGGGGTAGCAGTCTCCTGGAGACTAAGCACACCACTGAGTGCCTCCCCATGCCCCTGAAGCCAACCACACACCCACTCCTCAGCAGCTGCCCCCAGTTCCACAGGGCACCACCCCCTGCAGCTGCTCCAAGACACTAAGATGACTGAGACTTCCCTGCAAAGTGCTGGGAGACTGGCCCAGACTGTCCAGTTATTTCAAGGCCTCCGCTTTCCCTTTTGCTCTCAACTCCACAACTTAATCCTTAGAATACAAAGGCTCCTACCACTCTGGGTGACAGTAGCTGGTGTGCAGAGCAGGACGTATCTCATTGACTCCTGTCACCCATCCCTGCTCCTCTGGCTCATCGCATTCTATTGTCATCAAGGAAAAAGATGAGGTCATTCTGTGGTTAGCAGACGGTTTAGGGGAAGCTCTTGCTTAGCACGGAGGAAGTCAGTTTGCGTCTCTCAGCCAGACTGGGGCAGAGAGCAGCAGGACAACTACCGCAACCTGGGGCAGACTGCAGCAGTACAGTCGCTTTGCCAGTAGGTCCTGATGTCCCTGAAAAATGGCAAGAGAAAACAACAACTTGGCAGCTGCATCCATGGGCTGAGACAGTGATTCCTGCCCCGGGGGTATGCCCACCTCCTGCACAAGTTAGGTCAGGTGGACACCTCATGAGGACACAGAGAGATCTACACAGGCCACATGGGAGTCCTGTGCCAAGGATACCATCTACTTTGTTTTTTAAATTTTTGTTTGTTTTCAGAACCAGGGGTTGAACTCAGACCCTTGTGCTTATTCTGCTGAGCCATCTCTCTGGCCCCTAAGGATACCATCTAGCTGGTGTGGTGGCACAGGCTTATCATCTCAGCACTTGGGACCTGGACCAGGAGAATTTCAAGTTTGAGGCTAACCTAGAATACACAGTAAAACCCTGTCCTAATACATAAATCAATGACAGTAAGAGTGACAGAGAAATCTCTATGTGAGTTACACACAGGCAAGAGGCAACAAAGGTGTGCATCTCAAAGGCTCTTCACCACCTCATTGCTACAGCCCCAGCTCCGACATCTGACTAGGCCACTTGAGAGCCAGTACTGACTACCACCTAACCCTCACCCCCATGCCTGGAAAAGAGCCTGCTGTTCCTTCCCAGGACTTGGAAAGTACCTGCAGGTGTCCTGGGCGTGCATGCAAAATATGGACATATTGGAGTACAACAGGCCCTTCCCCGCAACACTGCCTCCTCTTTCAGTGAGGACTCTGGATCTTACCTGGCTGGTAGATGAGAGAATGCAATGCAACGCATTACAACCAAGCTGTTTGCGGTATCAACGCTGCTCAAAGGGAGATGTCCCAAATCCCACTCAACTTGCTAGGTTTTTGTTTTGGTTTTTTGCAGAACCGGGGATTGAACTCAGGCCCCTGTGTTTGCCAGGCTAGCGCTTATTCTACTGAGCCATCTTCCTGGCCCCCCGTTTTTATTTTTTGTGGGACTGGGGCTTGAACCGAATAACCTGCATATTAGACAAGTGCCACTGAGCTACAGCCCTATTCTCTCCCTCCAGGTTCTTTCACAGAAGTCTGAACTTCAATGTGACTATATCTGGGGACAGAGTCTACATGGAGGAAATTAACTACAGCCTTGCAACCGGGGCACAGCAATCCATTTGCCATGCAGGGACACCATGAGAAGGCAGCCAAACACAAGCCAACAGAAAGCCAAGCAGGCACCGAACTGGGGCTTCCAAGCTCCAGAACTGTGAAAAACAAGCTGTTATACCCTGTTCAGGAGAAGACCCAGTACTCCTTTGGCACAAACATGCATTTCCAGCATTCCCTGTACACAGACCTTCTTTAGGAACCTGGTAGCCACTTCCAACACAGCCCACAGTACAGCTTAGTGCCACCCACTGCCATTCCTGAGGCAAGGCCCAGGGCCCACCAACCCTAGTGCCCATGAAGTCCCCAAACAACTGTATTTTGGTCAGCACCTGAGCCTCCAAAGCTGACATGAGGCACAAATGTCACTTCAGCACAATACAGGCAGGCCATACCTTTTACCCACAATGATACTCTTCAAATGTTTCTTCCAAAAAATATTTTATTAAACAATATATCATAATCTATAACATGATCCAAAAATACAGATATACATCTTTACATTATTTAATAAAAAGATTTACAATAGTATCTTTCCTTTACAAAGGGATCATAGACAGTAATTCCTTGAAAATAAAACACAACATTCATGTTAAAGCTGCGTCATCTTTTTGGATGAAATAAGGTAGAGGACACCACAAAGTACACACCAAGAAGAACTTCACGGGCTGCTGGGGAGTATCTGCTTAAACTTCTTCTCAGTGCAGGGGTAATCTTGTCACTAAACATCCAGGAAAGTCTTATTTTGTCAATTCCTCCCTCACTATGTCACGTCATACCCAGGAAAAGGTAAACAACTGGCCCCAAGGTCACAGGGGAAGTGGCTCTCTGGACAGAGCCAATACTCAAGGCCAAGATAGACCCTGCAAGGGCTCCCAGGAACGGTGAGGAGTGGATGGCACTTCCCTGCCACCCACTGGCCCAGCTGATACTGATCTCACATTTACAGACCTGGGGGCAGGACTCAGTTGAACAGCATTTTCTTCAGTGCAGCATCCTTCTTCCAAGAAAATGAATCCCTCAAACTACAGAGCACTAGGAAAGTGATCTGCCCTCCTTGGAGCAAAATATTCCTCACTTGCAGGGGAACCCCACACCAAGGAGGAAAAAGCCACTAGAATGACACACAGGGTCCCTCAGTCTGAGAACCAGAATTGGTGGCACCCAGGGTAGGGCCAGCCTGGCAGGTATGGAGTAGAAGGCTGTGACCCAAAGGCAAGGCCACCAGTCCTGTGGAGCAGCACTCACATGGCACCAGTCCTCACTGAGCCAGGCCCATCCTAGAGTCCATCCCATACTGAGAGTAGCAACAGCCAGGACAGGCATAATCAGGGGCCAAACAACGTTCCACGGAGTGTTCCTGTTCTGTTCGCATTTTCTGTTTTTCCCAAAGGTAGATGCATATTGTTTCAATGGTATCAAACTAGCAAAAATGAACAATAAAACCAAGCACAGAAACTGTTGAAAGGCCAAGTCAACCCAAAGCATGCACACTGGCAAGCAAGCAGGGTGCCTCACATGCAGGTAACAGAAGCCCCTCTGCCAGAGCTCCACCAGCCTCCAGGACCACAACACAAGCACCACCTCCCCAGTGACGGTGCACTGCAGAAGGAGCTACCACTGCCAGTATCTCAGCTGCCTCACAAGAGTAAACAGAAGCATAGCAAAGCCTTGGGGGACTCCCCATGCCTCTCCCAAACACACACACACACACACACACACACACACACACACACACACACACAAAGTAACTGAAGAAAAAAATTGTTTGTCCAAAATATTTAAACACACACCTGTGTCAAGAAAAAAGCTAAGGGGTCGTTGGGATAGCTCAGTGGACTAAAGCACCTGCTTAGGCAAGCCTAGGCCAAGCTCAGGGACCGAGGTTTGAACCCCAATCCCCAGCCCCCCAGGGCGTCCAGCAATAGTGGTGCACACCTGTAATCCCAGTGCTGGGGAGGTTGAAAACTACGGAGGATTACTATGAGTCTCAGCTGCATAGTAAGACCCTGTAACAACCAAATGCATTTTAAAAACAAAAAAAGCTAAATTATAGCCAAGTATGGTGGTACATGCCTATAATCTGGGAGGCTGAGGCAAGAGCTCAGCCTGAGCAATTTAGTGAAACCTTGTACCAAATCAAAAATCTGAAAGAGCTGGGGACGGAGCTCAGCACTCTATGGGTTCAATCCCCAGTCCTGCAACCAATAAACTAATAAAAAAGCATACCAAGAATTACAAAATAAAATGCATCTCTCATTTCAGTGTTCTGGCTGAGGTTAAGCAGCCCCCTTACCCTGAGGCCAGCTGAGGTACTTAAAAAGCTCCTTCTGGCCTGGGGACCCCATCAGGATGAGCTGGGACCTCTCCTGGCCATTCATCCACTGCCCACCCTCACCTGCCCAGCAACAGACACCTGGCCAGAGTCAGCACCCACAACTCACTGCCTCAGAGCAGAGCAAGCCCAGGCCAGGATACCCTTGGCGGCTGCGTGCAAGGCCTCTGTCCTGAGAACCACAGGCCTGAACTCCCTGGCCATAGAGGCCTGGAGGGCCTGCTCCCATCCGTGAGCACAGGCTGAACACAGGGCCCTGTATGAACACCTCCTGCCATCTCCTCTCCTCAGTGGAACACTAGAACGAGGAAGTAACATTACTCAGGTGGCCATCACAGGAAACAAGTACGTGCCTTTGTTGGGACAGGAGCACTCTTCCATGGGTTCTCTGGCATCGTGGACAATGAGCATGCATGGGCATTTCAAGATGGGTCTCAGAGGCCCCGCTGGAGGGACTGTCAGAACGCACCTCATCAAACCAAACGGGTGCACATTCCCCAACTCCACCAAAGATACGTTGACACTGGTTTGGCCAACAGTGGCTAAACCAATAGTATACTCTGGATTCCTTGCTTTGGTCCAGAACCATTTCCAAATATAGCAGTCATACACCAGGCCACAGAACCACCATCCTCTCGGGGCAAGCTGCAGGCCCAGCAGTGGGCAGAATGAGTTCCAAAATCAGCCCCCATGAGGCAGACTCACATCACAGACACAAAGACCCACGATCTTCATGCAATTGTACTAATTTCATCTTCACAGTAAAAGCATCAGGGATTCCCAGAGAAACGGAAGGAATATCAGCCGGCTGCCAGGCCACTGTGTGGTGGTGCTGGTCATAGTAAACGACAGCCTGGGCCAACAGGAGCACTTACTCTGGCAAAGCCTGGTGGGCCAGAGTCCACACTAAAGAGGCAGTGCACAGTGGAGCAGGGCCTCCTCCTCCTAGGAGAGCTGGCCCAGCAAAAACAGCAACAGGGGCCTCAATGAAGGCCCAGTCTAACCATCAGGTCGGCTCAGGGGTGACAAGTGTGCTCACAGAGGTCTGTGCACGGTCACAGAGAACTGCAGGGAACACTCCAGTGGCAGAGTGGTGGCAGTGTACCAGGTTAGAATGTGCTTGGTACCTGGCAGCCCAAGTTCACAAGTGCCCACAGGGCAGTGGTTTCTTGGTTATTTCAGGAAATATCCAGAATTAAAACTGGCCACTGAGTTCTTAAATATCAGTCAAAGAAGGTAGTTTTTAAAATGAAAGAAAATATTGCAACATGAATGAAGGAATATATTAACTTGCTCTTCGATCCAGACACAGCCTCTTCCTTACTTCTTCTTCCTCTTTTCCTGAACACACCGTGGGCAGAACCTAGAGGAAAAAGACACAGGGGTCAGCCTCTGTGTTCCCCCTCCCAATGTGGCCATCAGACTCCACCACTTGGTGCAAGACAGGTAGACTCTGGAGAGACAGGACCAGAGGACAGATGCCAACACAGCGGGCATGGCCATTGCACCAGAGAAGCTGCCCTGCAAACTGCTGTCCCAGGGATGGCCTGAAGGTGCCACACTCACTTTAGTACATCCTTGCGATCAAGGGGATTGGGTTGATTATCCCTGGCTAGCCAGGCACTAGGTCTCTATGCCACTGTGAAGATGTGCTCAGCTGAGCTGGACATGCTGAGAGCCTCGAGCCCAGGCCCTTTGCTCAGCTGAGCGGGGCCCTGCAACCTGCGCGACACATAAAGGCCCCGGGTGCTCTGGGTTGGGCAAGCTCTGCAGCTGCTCACAGCACACAAGAATATTACAAAAACTAGCGCATCCCCTGCTCAGGGACAGCTTACTAACATCACCTCTGGAGATCTCTAAATGACAAGGCTTCAAGCGCAGGAAGCACGAGGTACAGGCCTGTGGGCAGCAGTGTCAGCAAGAAGCTCTTGTCTCACTGCTGGAGAGCTGCCCACTCACACGGGCCACCAGAAGGGTAAGGTGCAGCTCAGGATACAGACTCCCTAGCACGTGGCTCTGGATCAGCACCACAAACAAAAATAGAGAGAGAAAAACCTCAAAGAAACCTCCGCATGCCCTACTGGCTGCACCTGCCACCTGCTACTAGTTTCCAGCATGGAGAGCGGCAGTCCCACCTCTCCTCTTGGGAGGAGACTCCAGTACTGCCACACATATAGAGTTAGGCACTGCACAGTGGTGTGCACCACCACCACAGGGTAGGGGCCCACTACAACACAGCATCCACCCCTACTTCCCCTCCATGGTCCTAGCACCAAACGCCAGAAGATAACTCATTTGCACTGACCACAAATGGGTCCTCAAGAACTTCTGGCCACTATACATGGAGGGAAGGGTTTGCTCCATACATGAAGGGCAGTATTCTGACTGCTGTCTTTCAAGAATATTCACTAACTTCTAGGTCAACCAAACCAGGCTTTCGGCATGAAATCTCAGACTGGGATGGGGTGTGAAGCCCTCGCATAACTTATCAGGTAGACCCCTGGCAGGGAGCCACAGGCCAACTGGTGCTCTCTACCTGCACCCTGACCTGCCCTGAGACAAGAACCTGCGTTACTCAACTTCACTTAAGGTGACCTTTACCTCACTGCAGGACCATGACAGCTGCTCTTCAGGGCTGATGGTCACAAATCCAGATAACTGTATCCTGGACAAGCAGGCAGGGATCCTGCAAGCTCAACCTGCCCAGGAGCCAGGAGTAGTACTACAATGACCCTGTGCATCCGGCCACACCCAGAGCACCCGATAAGCTATCCGTGGCTATGACCAGCTCCCACCCAGCCATCAAGAACCTCCTCCTTGGGAACAGGTGCTAAGTACCCCACAACACTCCCATACTGACCACTTTCCTTTTGGTTTCGTGGTGAGGTCCACACAGGCAAAGTGAAACCACTCGATTGGACACTGCAAAGCAAGGGACAGTGCAGTCACACAGAGCACTCCACGTATCAGGCATGAGATGGCTGGACACACACACCCTCACCCCTGCCCCAGCCCACACCTGGCCACACCATGGCCCACAGGACCCAGACTCACATCTGGGTTGTCGCAACCAATCATCTCCCCATAGGACACCTGGTGGCACAGGCAGTATGTGGGCTCGTTGGGGTCCACAGGCATGTCGAGCACATCAGAAGGGTGCACAGACAAAATGGTATCAGTGAACTCAGACCTGCAAAGGCAGCAAAAATGTCATACATGATGGAAGGAGCATTGGCCTCGTTCCTGTACCCTGGCTGTGAGGACAAGGATGCGCCTAGGGACACCTACAAGGGCTTGCAGTGACTCTGACTCCTAAACTCATGCCAACCTCCTCACCTCAGGAACTCCAAGGGTCTGTTACTGTGCTTCATTTCCAACTAAAACCCCACACCTGTGACCAAACACTGACAGCCACAAGGCCATGGGAGACTATCAGCTGAAGAGACACCCTTCAACAGCGAGAGCTAGGATGCAGCATGGCCACTGTGGGCACAAACTGTCTGGCCAAGGTTGTCGGCAGGCAGCACTCACCACACAGCACAGCTTTTCCTATTCAAACACAGGACCCTCCAGTCCCAGTCCCTCCACCAAAAGGGTGCCTTAGACAAAGGGTGCTCCTGCTCAGGGCTGGCTTGCTTCAGCCTCCCTGTGAGGGCAAGCACTCTTCCTGCTGCCAGCTGACCCTGAGTGACCTGCCTACTCCCACTGCCAATCTGACCCATAAGCTCTCTTCCTGAGACAGCTGGGGTATCTAGTGCCCAGGGTGCCATGAGCCCTCATAGGCACTTAAAACCCCTGAATCACAGATCTCAGCAGCTCCTTAAGTCTTAGGAGCCTGTCACCCCCAGCTGCCCACCTGCTGGCTGAGGCCACTTCTAGCACACATCACCCTTGTTGTTCCTCTGGCCCCAGTGGACATCTGGATGTTGAGCCACAGCCTGTCCGAAACTCCAGCCACAGGCACTACATTCTCTTTGGTCTCAACGTGGCTTCAGCTGGGCATGGTGTTACACACCTGTAATCCCAGCACTCAGGAGGCTGAGGCAAGAGGATCACCATGAGTTCGAGGCCAGTCCGGGCTACATAAGCAAGTTCAAAGCCTGTCTGCACTACATAGCAAGACCCTGTCTCAAAAAATCCAAAAATATAAAAAATATAAATAAATGTCACTTTGATGACTCACAGCCACACCACCTTGAGGAGGGCAGTAGGAAAATGAGCAAAATAGCTTTATATTCAAGATAGGTAACCTTAGGGCCAGGGAGATAGCTTAGTGCAATAAGTGTTTGTCTGGCAGGCACAAAGACCTGAGTTCAACCCTCGGTTCTGCCAAAAACATACACACACAAACACACATACACAGTAGGTAACCTTAATCCTTAACAAATGTCATACAAGCTAATACTGAACAGATGCAAAACATCTAGTTAAAGATAAAATAACTAAAGATAAACTAAACCAAGCATGGTGGCACACATATGCTACCCTAGGACTCAGGAGGCTGAGGCAGCAAGATCACTCTGAGTTCAAGCCTGGGCTTCACAGTGAGCTCAAGGGGCTAGTGTGAATTATACACTGAACGCTGCCTCAAAAAACCAAAACCTGGGGGCCGGGGAGATGGCTCAGCAGAATAAGCGCTTCCCTGGTAAGCACAAGGGCCTGAGTTCAATCCCCGGTTCTGCCAAAAAAAAAAAAAAAAAAAAAAACCCAAAACCAACAAACAAAAATGAAGCCAACATATAAACACACACTCAGCACTTAGGCCTGGCAAGCAACACTGGTGTACCATGCAGGCTTCCAGAGTCAGACCACTCTTGGGAACACTGACACACACCAGCCACCCTAGAGACAGATGGCTGCATACACGAAGCCCCAGGCCAGAGCTGCAGCAGCCAGTGAGTGATCCCTGTCCCCACAGCCTCACAGCACGCAGCCAATGAGTGCCTTACCCTCCTTTATGCTTCTTCTTCTTCGGGGTGTCTTCTTCTGATGTCCTCCGGCCTCGGCCACGGGAGCCTCTTTTCTCTTTCTGACCCCGACCTTCTAAGAAACAGTAACAATCCACATTATCTCCACAGAATCCACTGAACCAGGACAGGTCACTCCAACATGGTATGTACCTCCAAGTCCCTGATACATTTGTTAAAGAAAATCCCTCAAAACCCCATAGTTAATGGCAGGAAAACAAAGGAAACATCGGCAGACTTGCTTTTCAGCCCCCGGCCTCCAGAGCTTTCAAAGTCACTGCCGTCCATCTTGTCCTTTAGGTCTGCCTCAAAACGAGCCAAGTCTGCATCCAGCCTCCGGATGTGCTTATCCACCTGCAGAGGGACACTTGAAGGTGACTTCAGAGAAACCACAAAGCCACTTGGGAAGCCACACACACTGAGGAGCCCCCAAGAGGTACCTGCTGCCCTTACTGCATCCTCCCCAGGCTACCCTGGGCATACCACGGTGAGTCCTACTTAGGAAAAGCATGAGAGCAGGACATAATGAGAAACAAGAGTTGTGAAGAGCTGTGAAATATATCCAAATAAGGAGCAGAGACATTTGATGTAGGTTCTAATCTAAAATCTGAAGAACATGTATTCTCCTAAATAAAAGACTAAAAGAGAAAGAATGAAAGAAAAAAAAAAAACCCACAAGAAATCCCCCCTTGGGCCTCTAGAAGGAAAAAGAAACAGAAGACAACATGGTCAAGAAACAAGACAAGAGCCCCACCAAGCAGCAACACAGACCTCAGAGCACACAGTCCTGGCTATCATCAGGGTCCTCACAACTAACCAGACTACAAAACCAGTCTGCAGAAGGACAGCCCCTCTGGGTCTGGAAGTAATCTCTAAACCCAAACCTCATAGGGTCAGGAGAGATCAGCCCACAAACATGGTAGTCTGCTCCATCTGAAAGGCTACCAGTGTAGGGTACACAGGGCATCAAAAGCACAGGGACAATGGCTTCTCCTTCTCAGGTGCCACAGGATCTCAGGGGTACCATAAAGCAACAGCTTGATGCCACTAGGTGAGTCCAAACAATCAATTCTAGGACTTTTATCTACAGCTAACAAAAACAAAATGCTGCATAACACAACAAAGCCAAGAGGTTATGGGTGGGGTATAGCTCAGGGTCAGGGCACTAGCCTATCACAGGCTCCCAGCACAGAAGAGAAAGCAGAAACACAAACCAAAACACAGTACTACCCAAACAAACAAACAAAAGGGAGCCAGAATGCCAAACCACAGACCTGGCCCTACGTGAAGGATCCCTGCCATGGACTCTGCAGGAAGCATCACCAGGAGCCACTCCCACACTGACACTATCCCTGCACCCCAGCCCCAGCTACCACCTCACCATCTCATAGGTCTGCATGGCCAGCTGAACCTTGTCGTCACTGTACTCCTTGCACTTGCTGTAGGCACTCTGGATCTTCTGCAGGTGCTCCACACGCTGGTCGGGGGACAGAGTCTTCACAGTGGAAATGTACTCTGCTGCCAGCATGTCAATCTCTGCTTTCTTATCTGGCAGAAACAAAGGTGAGAAGCTGGCCCCCACCCAGGACATAGCACAAGACATAACCCTAAGCCCTTGCTGAGAGCGGTCATCTCAGTCAGAGATAGGAAGGACCATCAGCACCTCAAGGTTACAGGGATATGACATGGAAGCTGCACAGCCTGCAGGTGCCAGGCACCATCTCTCCACTACTTTTTTTTTTTTTAAATTGGTGGTAACAGGGATCGAACTCAGGACCTTGTGTTTGCCAGGTAAGCACTTATTCCACTGAGCTATCTCCCCCGCCCCATCTCTCCACTTAGAAAACCGAAAAGACGTCTACCCATTTGTAAGCCTTCAATGGCTCTGTACCACTTATGAACAAATACTCCATTTCACAACAGGCAGCCTTATTCCCAACATGTTGCACCTACAGCACTTCACTGGCAAACACAGGCCCAGAACAATACACAGAAAGTATCCCACAAGGTATTACATCATCAAGAACTCACAACCTCAGGGAAAAGAGAAGATTCCAAGTGCTTCTGAACAGGAAAGAAAAAAGATTGAGAATCCAAGTGGCATTAGACTTCTCAAGAGCAATATGGAAGCGGGAAGTGAGCCCAGCAACACTGTCCACACTGAGAACGCCTTATTCTCCTATATTGCTGACCTAGCTGACTCAGTGGTCAGCAGGAGGACAGACAAGTTTTCAGACCTACAAAATGTATCACTGCAAATTTATCTCTTCAGGGACTGGGGGGACATACAGCTCAGGGCACAAGCGCTTGCTTGGCAAGTGCAAGGTCCTGAATTCAACTCCTAGTACTAAAAAAAAATTATCTTTTCAGATACTTGGGTACAGGGGCCAGGGAGATAGCTCAGTAGAATAAGTGCTTGCCTGGCAAGCACAAAAAAAAAAAAAAAAAAAAAAAAAGACATTTATGGTGCAAAGGAGAGGCTTCATTCCCACTCAGCGGAAGGGAGGAGGTCTGGGGAGAATCCCAAGCTGCCACCTGCACAACAGCCAGAGCCACCAGGAAAAGGCCTAGGAAGTGCATGCAAAGACCTGGTCACATCCTGGCGACCAGATGGTGCTGAGGCGCTCTTGGCAGAACCAGGAGGGCACAGTGTGGAAAGCCAGCTGGACAAATGAAGCCACCAGTAACCCCAAGAGAAACATGCTCATTAACAAAAGCATAGCACATGGCATTCCCCACCCCACTGACCACGACCACCCTCACTGGTCTCAGCACAAATTCTAGAAGACCACAGGCCAAGGAAGGTAAGAAGTGGCACACAGGGGGATATCTTCACTGCCACAATTTTATTTAACTAAATAACATCTGATAGTTCAGTGGAATAAGCGTTTCCCCGGCAAGGGCAAGGGCCTGAGTTCAATCCCTTGTTCCACCAAAAAAAAAAAAAAAAACACTTAAAAAATAAATAAATAACACCTGAAACCAACTGGAAGTAGGTTTTTTCTTGTTGTGGAATTGGGTATCAAACCCAGGAAATGCTGAGCTACATCTCCACCCCTTTTTTCTTTTACTCTGAGACAGAGTTTTACTGAGTTACCCAGGTTGCCTCAAACTTGCAATTCTGCCTCAGCTTCCTGAGTACCTGGGATCACAGGTATGCATCACCATACTCACCCTTGACTAGATATACAAAAGAACAATAAAAACATTTTTAGGAATAAAAAGTTAACTATTAAGGCATCAAAAAGTATTCTCTAACTTCTTAAACCACAAGATGACCTCCCATAATCAGAAAATCCAAAGCATTCCTAAGTCTGAGACTTTCTGTGCCCCAAAGTGGATGACTCTACAGGACAGGTCTCAGGTCCAGGCCTCGGAGTATGCAAGCTCTATTTCATGTACATGATCACTAGCAATGTTGTACCAAATTACCTACAACCTGGTGCATGAGGTGTACACAGAAAATAAATGGTGTTTAAACTTGAGTTTTGCACCTAAGATAGTTGTTTTTGTATATGCAAATATTCCCAAATTGGAAACCATCAGAAATTTGAAACAACTTTGATCCTAAGCATTCTGGATAAGGGATACCCAACCCTCATGCAGAGTTTGGAAACAGAAAATGTTGCAAAGAAACAAGAAACACAATAAATATTTGGCTGGGGGCTGGTGAGATGGCTCAGTGGTCTAAAGCACCTACTTAGAACAAGCTAAACTAAGCAAAACACAGGGACCGCGGTTCAATCCCCCAGCACCACATGCCAGCCAGTCCCGCCCCCTGGTGGGCTGAGCTGGCCACACACACACAAAATAAATAAATAAATATTTTTTTAAAAAATAAAATAAAAATAAATAAATAAATAAATAAATATTTGGCTGAAAGGTCAATAGCTAAGAAGCTGTGGTATCTGTGATGTGATGTTCTAGAATCCAAGAAACCACATCTGACTCTGTAAGACATAAGGCTGTGTGGGTAGCAGGCTGCGACTAGGTCTCCTCCAGACCCTCTGCCTAGCGTATGTCCCCTGCAGCCTACTTGGCCTAAGGAACTGCTGGCCTGGCTAAACCTACCTTCCGTCCTCTGATCCAGCTCTCGCATCAGCTGGAAGTTCCTCTGAAGTTCACAGGGAAGGTTTTCAATGCCTGAAACAGACATGGAACCCCTGTTTCTCTCTGGAGCAGAAAAAAATCTGCCCCCAAGGCTTCATGCCTAAAGTCTATGATACTAAACCACTGTGTATTTCTGTGCTAGGAAACAGTTTCAGTTAAGACTTCTTTCTAGAATTAAAAAAAATAGGATTTCTTTTCAGGATCTGTTACCAAACAGTGTTAACAGCCATCAATCACACTTCAGGCATGGCTGGAAGCTACAGAGCTTGAGAAGACATCTGGCCAGGTTGTCAGCAGAGGGGGAGATAGTTGTCACTCCTGACCTAGGCCCTGTTTCTTTAAGTCACCCTAAAAAAGGGGAACTATGTTCTCTGAAGTACAAGGCTCTCCCTGATCCACCCTACTTTGCCCTGAGGTCGATGCTTTCCTCCCAAAGCATTCTCTGCATTACCCTGGACACACAGGGGATACTCTGCGGATGTAACCAATAAAAAGGAGGAGCTCAATTTCTTCTGCTTTAAGTAGTAGGGGACTGAACCCCAGGCTTTTACAGTGAGCTACAGCCCTTTTTATTTTTTATTAAGACAGGGTCTTGCTGAGTCACTAAGTTGCCCAGGCTGGGATCAGACTTGCCATCCTCCTGCCTCAGCCTCCCACAGTGTTGGGATGACAGGCATGTACTACCACACCTGGCGGAACTCAATTTCTAACTTTACAGTATCAAAATATCCCCTGTGATTAGTGGTGACCCTGTAGGAGAGTAGAGGAGCACTTCCTGAGTGCAATTCACCCCTCCATCTGGCATGTGGACAGCAGGGTCCCTGTTCCGGTCCTGCCACACCATCTGCCCTCCACAGTCCAGATCTGATCTTACAAATTTTTTGCTGCTATCCTAGGAGGCCTGCAGCCCCCTAGCCAGCAGTCCCTCTTCCCACTGATGGACTTCTCTAACCTGTAATGCCTGGCACTCTCAACTATGTGCTCGTCCGTGGTCCCTGCTCTTCTGTTAACTTTGTAAAACCTGTGCCCCAGCTTACAACGAGCTGAGGGGACACAAGCTGCGGGACACGGGTTTCCAGTCTAATAGGACATGCAGCAGGTGCGCAGCGCTTGGAAGCCACCGGGCCGCCTTCACGCAGGGATCAGCTAGCTCACTTTCAACCTGCCTAGGAGGTTCGCCGTGTGGGCAATGGGACAGGGAAGGGTCTCCCCCGGCATCTCCCACCCTGGAGCGCCCACTCCTGAGCGCACCAAAACTGAAACGCAGAAGAGCACATAGGGCTGGAGGTCCCTCGGAGACCCCCATATTGCACCCATGTACTCCCTGCAGAGAGCGGGAAACAATCACCCACATCTCTTGGGGCCCCAGTCTGGTTCCCGGTAAACAGCGAGGCATCAGTCCTCTTACTGGATGTCCCCGCAGGGCCACGCGGCACGAACACCCAGCCCGTGGGAAGACGCCTGGGCCCGAGTAGTAGGCTCGAGCCGCCCAGTGCACCCGCGCAAGCCCAGCCCGCCACGGGCTGCAGGGGCGGGGACACGGGGTGGGGCGTGCTCAAGCCCCGCCCCTCCGTGACGCACCTGGAATTGGCGCGACCGAGGCGGTAGGACCCTGCGTCGCGCCCCCCGCGACCGCCCCTCCCGGTGGCCGACCGCCCTCTTGGGCACGCGCCCCACGGCCCCTGCTCCCCGCCGCTGGGCCCCGAAGCCCACTCGAGGGCTGCGGCGCGCGGGAGACAGCAGTGAAGCAGGCGGGCACGGGTGGGGGCGCGGCGCGGTGCTTACTGTCCAGATAGTGCTCCAAGTACATGGCAGTCGCCATCTTCGCCGGCCGCGCTCCGGGTCTGCGAGCAGGCGGCGCCGCGGAGGGCGGGGCGGGATGGTGCTCACTATTCATGAGCCGTGTGTGCCGATTGGCCCGTGGTAGGGGCGGGGCGAGACGAGGCCACCGCCCACTTCCGGCGTGCGCGGGGAGGGAAGCCGCTCGCCTCGGGCAACGATCCTCCCCGGCGCTGCGTGTTCGTCCTCGGCCCAGTACCAGGCTCCACGTAGGTTCGCTCCTCCGCGCGCGCTGGGCAGGTCTTAGCCAGGCCTGGTCGCGCCGCGGGCTCACCAACAGATCCCGCACGACCGCAAGGGCCCTCCCTACGCCCCTCCCTACGCCCGTGCGCTCCTCTACGCCGCTTTGCCTAGTCCCGCCGTGAGGGGGCGCCCGCGCCTAGCCCTCTGCAGGTGCCTGTGCTGTTCGTGGGCGGCTGCGCAGAAGTGTAAGCTGAAACCGCTCCGAGGCCGCGGGAGAGCAGCGTTCGCACGCGTCCCCGCGGAGGGACGACGGCGCGCCTCCTCCCACCCGGCGCAGCCCAGACCGCTCGCCCACTGCACCTCTGCTGGAGCCAAGGCGTGGTTGCCGACGGTGCTAGCCCTGCCTCTGCCCAGTGATGCCCTGGGAGAGGACCTACCACCCCTGGGTGGACAGAGCCGGGGCAGCAGAGCCCGCGCGTCACCCACGCCCTTACCCTCTGAGGCGCAGGGGCGCGGTTGTACAAGTTACCCTAATTTACCAGCATGCAAGACTTCTGTGATTTAAAATGCATTTTTTCAGTTGCCAACGCCGTAATAAATAAATAAATAAATAATAAAAATGTTGGGGCCGGGGAGATAGCTCAGTAGAATAAGCACTTGCCTGGCAAGTTCAAGGTCCTGAGTTCAATCCCCGGTACCAAAAAAAAATTCAGTTACAGGGGCTGTGAGTGTGGCTCAGTGATACAGTGAGGCTCTGGATTTGATCCCTAACCGAAAATAAAATGCACAAAACTTAGTCAAATACTAAAAGCTGTAAACATTGATTGTTTTTCATTTGTTTATTGTAGTGCTAGGAATGAAACTCAGGGTCTGCACCTCCCAGCTCTTTTCTTTTTGAGACAGTCTTCCGAAGTTACCCAGGCTGAGCTCTAACTTGAAGTCCTCCTGCCTCAACTTCCCAGAAGGCTGTAATTACAAGTGTGTACCGCCATGTCTGACCTCATTGTTCTTGACAATTATGTACTCATGAGAATTCAAATCATTAGAAACTTAAAGCCAGTAATAGATACACACTTGTGATCCCAGCACTCAGGAAGCTGAGGCAGGGCATCACCGAGCTGGAGGCCCATGCCAGCTACTTAGTGAATGCAAGACCAGCCTGAATTGTATAGTAAGACTCTGTCTCAAAACGAAAAGAGACATAACTTAAGTCTTTGGTCTTGTTCACCTTTATGTGTAGGTGTTAGCAGTTTGGGTACATATTCCTGGACCCACCTCATGCCTAGTGAAATACAAGACTGTATTCTATCTTTTTGTTTAAGTGGCTACGTTTTATTATTATTAATAAACTTTTTACAAGCAGTATGGGGGTTTTCTAAAAACTTAAGCAGAAAATACCATTCCTTTATAGCCTCACGTCCTCCCTAAAGAGATACACACACATACACACACACACACACACACACACACACACACACACACAGAGTTTTCTCCATCACAGATGTTTTGTGCTGGGCCTAGTGGCCTACACCTGTGACGAGCTACCAGGGAGGCTGACATAAGAGATTCACAAGTGTAAAGCCAATCTAGTGAGCTCCTGTAGTCGGAAAGCTGAGTATGGAGCTTAGTAGTACAGCTCTTGCCTAGCATACTGCAGGCCCTGGGTATGACCCCCATGCTGCAAAACAATTTTAAATAAAAATAATTTCTATTCCAGTGGTAACATAATTGATGAAACAGTACTGGTACATTATGTTGTATTACTCAAGTCTTAACAATGTATGTCAAATGGTCCCCATTACAACATCTTTTTGTTTCCTTATCGGATAGGGTCTCTTGGAGGTTCAGAGGGCTGGGGAGATGGCTCAGTAGAATAAGCACTTCTCTGGCAAGCACTAGGGTCTGAGTTTAATCCTCGGTTCTGAAAAAATAAAAATAAAAAAACAGTGATCTTGGTGGTTCAGGCTGCCTTTGAACTCATGGCAATCCTCCTGCATCAGCCTCCTGAGTTCTAGGATTGCAGGCATGTACTGCAGTACATGGCTCATTGCAGCATTTTACAGAATAATTTCACCTCCCTAAAAATCTCCTATGATGCCAGGCATGGTGTAAGCAATGTGGAGGCTGAGGCAGGAGGATTGCCACAAATTCAAGACCAGCCTGGGATACATAGTTTAAGGACAGTCAGAAGTACATAGTTGGACTTTGTCTCAAAAAAAAAATTATATCCTTAAGATTACTATCTCTATAGTTTTGCTTTTTTTCCTGGAAAGTCATGTCGCTGAAATCATGGTATATGTAATCTTTCCAGACTGTTTTCACTTACCAACATGCATTTTTAAGTTTCTTCTTTGTGTGACTTTATATCTCATTTATTTTAACTCCAAAAATTACTCCAGTGTATGATATATTTGTTTATGCAGTCACCTGTTGAGGGACATCTTGGTTACTTCTATTTTTTTTTTTAATTTTTATTTTTTATGTATTTGGTACAGGGTCTCGCTATGCAGCTCAGACTCCTAGTGATCCTCCGGTTTTCAGCCTCTCTAGCACTGGGATTATAGGTGTGGGCCCCATGCCCAGACTCTGTGGCTTGCTCTGCATGCCCAGGGAAGGGAGGTGCTCAGGGCTTGAACCCCAGTCCCTGTTCTTGGCTAGGGCACATAGTCCACTGAGCTATCTCACTGGCCCTACTTCTAATTTTTGACAACTGTGAACAGCGCTGCTATCATCATCTGTGTGCAAGTTTTCCTGTGGATGTGGTTTTGTTTCTTTTTCTTTTTTCTTTTTTCTTTTTTGTATTTTAGGGAAGGGTCTCCAGGGTGTTCAGGGTCTCACTAGATCAGACTCATAGTGATCTGCCTGTTTACAGCCTCCCAAGAGCTGGGATTACAGGTGCGCACCACCATGCCCAGTCTCAGTTGCCATCTCAGCGTGCCCCGGGGGTGGGGCTGGCTTGGCAGGCCCAGGATGGAACACACCCCCCGCCCCCGCCCCAGCCCGCACCCTGGTGCCAGCTTGCAGGCACTATAATCTGCTGAGGTATTTGTCCGGCCCTTGTTGTTTTGTTTTTTTTGTTTGTTTGTTGTTTGTTTTTGGCAGAACTGGGGATTGAACTCAGGCCCTTGCGCTTGCCAGGCAAGTGCTTATTTTACTGAGCCGTCTCTCTAACCTCCTTGTTTCTTATTATTTATTTATTTATAGTACTAGGGATCAAACTCAGGACCTTGCTGAGCTATCTCCCTAGCCCCACTTTTTTTTTTTTTTTTACCAGAGATCGAACTCAGGACCTTACACTTGCCAGGCAGGCACTTATGTCGCTGAACTATCTCCCCAGCCCTGGCTGTGGTTTTCAACTCATCTGGATAAACACTGGCCATATGGTAAGTGTCTGCAGTTTTTGTAAGGAGCTGCCAAGCTGCTACCTAAGGTGGCCATACTGAGGGGACATAACTAAGGAAAGCGCTGGGAAACAAGGTCAATCCACCTTCTGAGTTTGCCTAGCCAGGCCAGGGCCAGCTCTAAGCACAACAGAAAAAGGCAGCCAGGTAACTAGGCTCTTCACTGGCCTGCTCCCACCCTGTGGAGTCTTTTCTTCTTTCAAGTAAGTATTTGCTCTTACTCCTACTTCGGGTACCCTACTCAGTTCTTGGTTTAGGACATCAGAACCTGCGTGTTCCCACAGCAGGGAAGAAGAGTTACTTCACATACTTGCCAGCTTCCGGTGTCAGAGTTCTAGGCTTTGGCCATTTAAATAGGCAGGATCTGAGCACAGTTCTCTGGGAGCACCTTTCCACATGTTTATTTAACATCTGACTAGCTTCTTCAATGATGTGTCTGCATTGCAGATTTTTGTTCATTTTTAAATTGGTTTGTTCATTTTCTGATTGTTGAGTTAAGCACCTATTTTTCTACTGACATTATTATCATTTTTTGTTATTGTACTGGGTCCTAACCCAAGGACACTGTACCACTGAGCTACATCCTCAGCTCTTTTAATTTTTTTTTCTTTTTTGAAACAGACTTTTCCTAAGTTGCCCAGGCTGGCCTCAAACCTGTGATCTTCCTGCTTCACTCCTGAGGGTGCAAGGTGAAGGCCGTGCGCTCCCATCACCTTCAGATATGGTTACACAGTCAGAGCAGTCCTCAGGAACTCTCAGTCCAGAGTTTTGTTTCATTTTTTGAGGTTCCAGGCCTTGAACAGACTACTTCATGCATGCTGAGAAATGTCCGACCCCTGAGCTACAACCCCAGCCCCTCCGGTTTCTCATCCACGTGAATACTGTGGCTGTGCACACGTTGTTGTACATGGCTGACTTGGTCTCTCCACTCCAGTTAAATACTGCTGTGAAACAGACTACCTGTAAACTTTATGGTTTAAAAGGCCTAGTTTCTTTTTTTAAATTTATTTTTTAAAATAAATCCCATCATTTTCTGAGGCATAGCTTTGGGCAGAAGTCCATCGTGTGGTTCTTCAGTCCCATGGGATAGGATGGACTGCCAGGCAGCCTAGAGGACTCCTCAAAGCTGCTTTGAGTGCCAGCCCACCCACCTACCTGTGCGTCCCCAGCCCCGAAGCTCCAGCCAGGTCATGGCTGCTGTGCCTGGTGCTCTGAGCCACGGAAGAGAGCTCCAGGCAGGTGGGAAGGGAGCTGGGAGACCCTTCCTCAGTGTGGTAGTCTTAAGCCTTCTCCTCATGACATTCTGGTCAGGTGAGTTGAAGGCAACCCATATCCAAGAGGAGAGGAGGCAGACCCATGGCAGGCCCAGTCTACATCATCCCATTTGTGCTCCAGATTCAGTAGAAGTGGCATTGCTGGTTCAGAGTAATGCATAG